GTTTTTAATTTTAAAAAATTAAAATTTTGTTATTCCCCTTAGAGTGATGCTTAATTTGTTACATTGTCTTTACAAACTATTTGAGTAAATGACATGAGCTTGTACTAGTTGTCAAAGTTACTAGAATGTGATTTATGGGTTGGATAGGGGAATGTACTTTTTCAACTGCTAGAATATAGCACTTGAATTTTAACATGTTGAAAGATGACTTTTCTTTGCATCATTCAGAAAACATTCTCAGTTCCATTTAAAATGTTTTTAAAACTTTGAATTTTTTTTTTTTTTTAGAGAGAGATTTTTGCTATAGAGTGCGTGTGCTCGCTGGAGAGAAGAAACACCATTTAAATTATACACACACACACACATATATATAAAACACATATATATAAATACATATTGCAGGGTCTTCAAAAAAGTTCATGGAATATGTGTATTATGAAATATGCATGGGTTTCAAAACTTCTTGGACCATAATGAACTCATATTTTAATTCCATTTTCCATGTGCCTTTCAAGTCCCCTTGTATTTATGTCATCATTACTGATAAAGTCAAAACAGAAAAGTACAGTCTGTGTTCATGTGATGATGATTTGAGCATCAATTTTGTTTCAGATATTGAGCTCGGAACTGGGACTAATACCATGGTGAATAAGACACCAGCTCTTGTCTCGAAAGATCTTAGAGTCAAGCAGAGATCAGACAAGTCAGATGGCAATGACACAGCGGTGCCCGTGTCAGCAGGAGCTGCCAGGGTCTCACGCGAGCACTACGGAGCAGCTCCTACAGCAGTCTGCTAGGGTAAGAGACGAGATCCTGAAAAAGTCCAGTAGACTGCCTTTTAAGTATAACCTTAGTAAAAATTTAAATCTTCTCTCTATATTTTTTGAAAAACCTTTAACTCTTGCCTTTGCTGGCAATATTTTCAATAAGTTGCTATGGGCTTTTGCTGCTTCAGTAGGACATGGTGGGGTGGCATTTATTATATTCACTGGGACTTGGGTAACGCCCTGATGAAGCTTGGTCTGTAATATCTGGAGAACATACAGCAATCCAGACAAAGAGGTGGGTGGGGAGCAAGGATAAAAGAAATAACATGAGAAACAGCTAAAATGAGTGACCACGTGCTTGGGGCCAGCAGGTGGAATGGTGGTTAAGGCATGACTGGCCGCTGGCTTGAAAAATCACGCTGGGTATGTGCGTGTGCGTGTCCCAAATCCCAAGAGGAGAATGGAGATGGGATGGTGGTCTGGCCATCCCCCAGGGCAGGCGGGTAGGGGTGATTTCTCACTTTCCCCCTCTCTGTTGAGCACATGTGCCCTATGGCAAAAACCTTAAAAAAAAAAAAGTGCTTCTTTTTGAATAGGCATTACACATCCATGAAAATCTGAGGAAAATCTGTGTTTGAAATCTTACCTTTATGGTAATTTTCATCCATTGTCTACACATCTATAGGGATTTAACCCCAAAGCTCCTTCACTAATGGGCAACCCCCTGAGAGAGCACACTCCAGTACATGGTGGCCTCCAGCAGCTTGTAACCAAGCTGCTCACAGTGGATCACATTTCCGAAAGACCCTGCCTAGTCAGTCACATTCTTTAAGAATTAAGAATTAGAACTAAGAAATAATTGTTGGGCCCTATTGGCCAACCAAATAGGACTTACATAAAACAAGAAAAAAGCAAACAAAAGGTTCCTAGAAACAAATAGAGAGAGAGAAGCAGAAACAGCTCATTCGAGAGAGAGTGACAGACAGAGTGAGGATTGGGGGTGTGGGGAGCCCTGAAGCTCCTCACGTTAGCTCCTCGCACAGTCTAAACTCCCTGCCCTTTGGTTCCATGAAACAAGCAACATCTTACAGTGAATCCTATTTTACTTCAGTCTGCTAGCTAGAGCAGATTTCTGTTTCTTTGAGCCAAATTCTTCCTAAGGTAGCAAGAGGGAGAAGAATTTGTAGACCTGGGTAAAGTGTCTTAGGAAAACATCACATGCAGAGTTGGAGGAGGGTGCACTGCTTACTAGGGATATCCTACGCCCCTCTGGACCTGTATGTGCCGTGTCATCACTGTCATTTTTGTGTAAGTCATTTCCTTGATAGCCCTCCTCCGTCTTACTATCATGACCGCCTGATGCTTCCTTTTGGCTTTTTTTTTCCCCCCAGATATTTTTGCTACAGCATGCATGTGCTCACCAGAGAGACAAAGCGACAGAGAGACAGCGAGAAATCACCTCCCAGGGGGTATGGCCACGTTGCAATCCCTTCTCTTTCATTCCCCTCTTAAGATTTTGGGCACAGATTCCGGACTGTGTCGGGCCTGCTCGTTGGTCTCTGCGATCTGAAAGTTGACAACTTTGCATCCAGGAGGCTGCTCCCGGCGATGCTGCAGCCTTCACCATGCCACAAAACGAATATATTGAATTACATCGTAAACGCTATGGATACCGTTTGGATTACCATGAGAAAAAGAGAAAGAAGGAAATTTGGGAGGCTCATGAACGTTCAAAGGCAAAAAAAGATGATTGGTCTGAAAGCTAAGCTCTATCATAAACAGCGCCATGCTGAGAAAATACAAAATGAAAAGACTGTCAATACGCATGAAAAGAGGAACACCAAACAGAAGAATGATGAAAAGACTCCACAAGGAGCAGTACCTGCCTATCTGTTGGACAGAGAAGGACAGTCCCGAGCTAAAGAACTTTCCAATATGATTAAACAAAAATGGAATGAGAAAGCGGGAAAATGGGAAGTCCCTCTACCCGAAGTTCTAGCCCAGGGAAAAACAGAAGTATTAAAAGTTATTTGAACAGGAAAGAGAAAGAAGGCGTGGAAAAGGATGGTTACAAAAGTCTGCTTTGTTGGAGATGACTTTTCTAGAAAACCACCTAAGTATGAAAGATTCATTAGGCCAGTGGGCTTACGTTTCAAGAAGGCCCACGTAACACATCCTGAACAGAAACTTTTGGCCTGCCAATACTCGGTGTAAAGAAGAATCCCTCATCCCCACTATACACAACTTTGGGTGTTATCACCAACGGTACTGTCATTGAGGTGAACGTGAGTGAGCTGGGCCTTGTGACACAAGGAGGCAAGGTTATTTGGGGGAAATATGCCCAAGTTACCAACAATCCTGAAAATGATGGATATATAAATGCTGTTTTACTGGTTTGATACCAGTTGTATACAAATAACTCCTTGTAATTTTGAAGATGATACACCATCTGGAAAACCATCATGACTGATGTTTCTGAATATAGCCGGTCTTACATGTTTGCAGTCATCAAAAGATTATTTATTAAATTGTACAAAAACATTAAAGTGGCCTGGTTTTACCAAAAAAAAAAAATTTGGGCACGTATGCACACATGCCTGGTGTGAGTTTTAAGCTACCAGGTCCAGGATTCGAACTACAGTCAATTATGTGTGAGTACAGTGACGTAATCATTACACCAACTGCTATTCTCCCTTTTGGCTTTTACCTCTTCTCCTGCTGCCTCCATCTCCCCAGGTTCTTCTGTTTTCCTTATTTCTCCAGAGATATTTTAAAAAATATATGATCATGTTGAACTTTTGTGATAGACCGTAGACATATAGTAGGCTGCCATGTATGGTTTCTAGTTGGTTCCTTCTTATTTTCCCTGGTAATAGCATCCACCCTTCAGAGTAGCTGTGAGAAGGAATGCTAAAGTACTTAGCACTGGGACCAGCAGATGGCATAATGGTTACACAGCTGGACTCTCACGTAGTCGACCATGGTTTGAATCCTGGACCTGGCAGCTTATAACTTAAGATGGGTGCTTGTGCTGCATGTCCAAGATCTCAAGAAGAGAATGGAGAAGTGACTCTGGTGTGGCCATCCCCTTTAGGGGGTGATTTCTTGCTTTCTGTCTGTCTCTCTGGCGAGTACATACACCCTATAGCAAAAATCTCTCTTAAAAACAATTAAAAAAACCCTACTTAGCACTTTATCCCTAGCAAATCTTTATTACTAACACTTTAAACATTTTATGTGGAAGTAATTTCAAGCTTATAGAAAGGCTGGAAGAATAAGAAAAGAAAGGTTGCATACTCTTTACTTGGATTAACCTATGGTTTAATAAAACATTTTGCTACAGTGCTTTATTATTTGTGTTCTTTTTCTTTGTTATCTCAGAATCATTTGAGAATAAGTTGCATTCATGATTGCCTTTACCCCGAAATGCTTCAGTGTATATGTCTTTAGAATATACCCATACATAAACACAGGAGTTACTAACTTTGGTAAATTTAACACGGACACAATACTCTTCTTTAATCTACTACCCATATTCCAGTTTTGTTAAGTAACCTAATACATCTATTATCTTTCTTCTCTGATGCAGAATTCAGTTCAGTGTTAGCTGTTGCATTTAGTCATCATGTCTATTTTATTAAGTTGTCAGGAAAGTCATGACATATTTTTCAATTTTTTTTTCTATGCAAAAATTTGCCATGCCTTTCCTGATGACCCTAGTTTCCTTTGATTTTGAACATTTTCAGCTTTTTAATTTTTATGACATGGACACTTTTAATAGTCCTTTTGTTGATCATACTTTTAAATACTGGATAGCCTTAGTGTCTGGCACAGGGTTGATGCTTGGTTATTGTTCGAGACTTTGAAGATACATATACCCCCCAAACAGGAAAGAAAAATGGTTAGTAAATGCTCATTTGGACTGAAAGAATTTTTAAAAAAGAATTATTTAACTTTATTTATTAACTTTATTTTAATTTGATGGGAAAGGGGGAGAGAGAGAAACTGAGAAAGCAAGCCACCAGGTCCAGGACTCAAACCACCATCAGCCATGTGGGAGTACAGTGCCCTTAACCAGCATGCCACCTGCTGGCCCCTGGACTGTACGAATTTTTGAGAGTTGTCTACTTTGCCTGAACTGGTGAAGCATATCCCATGTGATCATCTCTCAACATGTTATATTTTTAACATCAAATATCCAGTTCAGGGTATATATAGAAAACAAGAGGCATGTCTATAAAATTATTTATTTATTTACACTTTAGGCTCACATTATAATCTTTCTAGAACAGAATGGCTATGATGAAATATACAAAACCAGTATAAGCATACAAATTGATCTGTATCAGAACTCTAGAGAGGACTCCAGATGAACTCACATGAACTCTCTGACAAGCCAATATTCCAGAAGCCAATACACCTTTAAATCATGCTGCGATAAGCTCTCCCCAAGAAGAGGTTTAATCTGTCTCATTCAAAAAAGCTGAGAAGCAAAAAGCTAACCCCATTATTAAACAGCTATCCATACGGCATAAAACCAAAGCTATTTTACAGTGCTGAGATACCCACTTAGGTCCAAACTTGATACAGAGAATACGTTTTAAATATGAACGCTTTGGTTATTTCGCTCTGACTTGGTTTTTGGCATTGTTTATGATAACAATTGCAATTATATTTGAATGAGGCATCACAGGCAATCCATTTAAACACCATGGGCTTAATACTATCACGAAGCATTTGGTCCTGCCTTGACCAGGAATACCTTTAAGGTGCTGACAAGGGCAACATATTTCTCTTTCTTTCACTCAGCAAAAAAAAAAAAAATCACAGAAATCACAAAATAAGAAATAAGTTTTTCACATGTCAAATAACCAAAGTCCACATAAAGCCTTAGGTATGTTTAAAAAACAACAACGAAAAAAGTTTCTTGTAACAACAACCTGCCCTGGGTATAGATGTGTCATTGAAACTCTAGACCTGTAGGATCTCTGCCTGTCCCTTGAAAGTCCATGGCTTCATGGCTGACTGGATATAAAATATGCTGAAGGTTAAATCTATAAGAATGCATTGATGCTTCTGGGAAGGATTCACATTTCAAAGTTTTAAAATCTGGATTTAATAGGAGTTTTAGAAAGATAAAATACTGTAGTTGCTTCTACTCCTCTTCCTTAACAAATAGGAGTTTAAAGCTCAGGCTTCTAAAAAAGCAGAGGGAAGCAAAATAGGATAAAGTTTTAAATATTCACATCTTCCTTTTCTTAGTGTAAAATATTACAAGGGCAAACCTGATTCCTTTTCCTTGAAATGAAGATCCCACCTTCTAGGACTATTTTAAATAATTTTTTAAAGAGAGTTTTTGCTATACGGCGCATGTGTTCGCAGGACAGAGAGAGAGAGAGACAGACAGAAAATGAGAAATGGCTAAGTCTCAATCCCTTCTCCCCCATTCTCCTCTTGGGGGATTCTGGGAATGCACGCACATGCACCAAGTGTGAGTTGTAAGCCGCAGGGTCTGGCACTCGAACTGGGGTTGCTACATCAGAGTCCAACCACGTAACGGTTATGCCATCTGCTGGTCCCTCATAACTGTTCCTAAAAGAAAGTTTCTAAGCATTGCTTTTAATAAACATGCAGTTAAATGACTGTAGGAAAATTCCTAACTTGTGATTTGAAAGAGTGCTATGATAAAGTCTAAAAGCAAGATCTAAATGTGTAATGTTAATAGTTTACATCACATCTCTTTAAAAGGTCTTCTAAGAACTGTAGGTTATAAATTGCCAGTTAAATTTCCACTCTACACTGTTTCTTAAAAATAAACTGTTGCACAAATACAGAAGATTAAGCTATGCGATATTTCTCTTATTAATTTTTTTCCCCTTTTCCCCTCCTCCCAAGTCAGATAAAGCAAGAAATAAAGAAAAAGCAAGAAATAAAGCAAGATAAAGCAAGAAATAAAGCACCTAGATATTAGTTAAATTAACTTTCATTTGAGCAGCATTTTGATTTTGAATAAAGGGATTCTGGGTATCATCCAAAACACTCTAGAAAGTTGAATTTACATTCATTATACAGCATTTTACATATACACAAATACAAATTTATAGGAAATACATTAACCTACACTTTTTATAATGTAAAAGATTAAGCAAATAAAACAAATGTGTTCATGTGCTAAGCCAGCTGTTTGAGAAATAGGCTTGGTGTTTAGGTCCAGCGTCAATAACCTTGAAGAACTTGAAGCATATCACATCAGTATACCACAGACGCTTTATTTTTGACCTTAGTCTGGGACTAGCCACTGTTTTAGATGAAATTTTTCTATCAAAAATAGTGCTGTACAAGTAAAGTGAGTTTACTAGGAATGTTTGCACGGGAAAAGACAGACTTAGCAAAGGCAATGTCAAATATTCTGAAGTATAATTATAGGGAAGGATTTAAAGTGTTTTTCTGGGAGAACTTAGGACTTTTTGATAAGAGCTATGAAAAATTAAAAGGTCTGCTTCATCAGTGTGAGTTCCAAGTCCCTGGAACAACAGTGCCATTTCAGGTCCTCCTGTAGTGAGGACTCCTGACCCCGCAGGTGACCCTGAAGAACTTAAGTTCCTTAATGGAATTCAGTTTGTTTCTTCCTTTATGTGACTGAGGCAGTTTGCTTTATTTAGTATTCCTAACCATAGAGCAGTGTTTGATTCTGCTGTTGTATTTCCTGTACATAGATGGGCTTGATCCTCTGGAATAGATTTCGCTGATCTAAATCCTCTTCCAGAAAACAAGTAGGTGGCTGTGATGAGCTTTGGTGGTAGTATCCGCACCTAGGAGGTCCTCCATTAACTGCTGGCTGAAGTAGGCTACAGCAGGGCTTTGATTTGAAGGCAAAATAAAAAGATGAGCTGAAATGTTTACTGTTTTATTAAGTTTTGATCTTGAGAACGGAGAGTCCTGCTTGGTGCTCCTTCACCTCAGCTGGCATGCCAGTGCTTATCACAGTTCTTCTGATCAGATTTGAGGTATAGAAGGAGTAAGAAGCATGGATATTTTGACTTACATTAAACAAGCTATTAAAAAAAAATGTTTCCAGAAGTTAGGTTTTTAACTCTAAAATCAAGGCTTTTTAACAGAAGATTAAATACACACACAAAAAATATGTAGAAATAAAGATTCTACTATGGCTGTAAATATATAAGACAAATAAATAAGGTCATATGGTTTATACATTTCATATTCTTAGAAAAAGAGAGGCCTACAGTAGTTCAGGAAGACAGTTTCGAATATTGTTCCCTGAGTTCTCAAGGCAACCCCAAAGGTAAGTTCATGAATTCCAAGATGTTAGAGATAGGAAAACCCGTATGGTCTGCTTATCTCTCTTCCAAGAGTGGCTGTTTATTCCAAAGTGGGTTTGTTCAGTGCTTCCCATAGTTTATATGCTTTAAAAAGTGTGGCTTTATCCATTTCTTAGAAGGTAAGTTCCTACGTGAAACTTCTAAGAGGGAGAAGAAAAAGGCTATTTCGAGTGTAAAGCTTTAACATTAGTTAAGAGTGCAGCTGAGTACATCAGTTCGAAATCTCTATACATCAAGAGTGGTTAATACTGTCATAGGTGTTAGAAGGTAGAGTTTTTTTTTTTTTTTTTTTTAAATAATGCCAAGGGCACATGGATAGGATGGAGGCAGGAGAGAAGAAAGAGGAGGGGGTGAGAGAGAGAGAGAAAGCATCCCCGATGGGGCCTGGTCACATTATAATCCTTTCTCCTCCAATTCTCCACTACATTAGGATCCTGGGGATGCATGCACGCACCCGCCCAATATGTTTTCCAAGTCACCAGGGCCAGGACTCAAACCTTGGGTGAGCATGTGGGATTCAGCTTCCTCTGTGTAGTGCTTAACTGCTGCACTATGGGGCTGGCCCCAACCTGGGTATTTCTGATGTCAGTGGTTGTTAAGCCCTGCCTCCTTAGCAAACACAATTATAAAATTACAATCTACTAATTAATTCAGTCTACCAGTTAATTCAAAGAACCCAAACTATTACATACATAATGACTTTTCAGTATTTAAATGTGTAAGAACACTTAAATTAAAACAAAATAAAGTTCATAACAACCCTTCTAATCAGATCTCAAAATAGCTAACCTGTATACACAGATTTACATAGCATAGTGATTTAAAAAAAAATCCATTTGAAACTGGAATTTTAAGTTCTTAAATTGTTTTCATCTATCCACCTTTTCTGTGGTTATTAGTACTTCAAAAACTCCAAAGCTTTGGAAATAATTTAGACGGGTAAAATATGTAGATATTTGTTTCAAACTCCCATATAGGTCTATTTGGGAAAACTGATAGAGACTGGTTTTGTTGTTGGCAGTTTTAATGCTTAATTTTAAGAAACTAAAGAGGTTTTTTTTAAAAAAAAAAAAACAAAACTCTGTTGAAGAAATCTACTGAAATTGCTCAGCTGTGTCAGTAAAGTGCAGTATGAACATATCCTTTGGTTTGGCTATGACCTCAGAGGAGGTGTAGAAGTCAACGGCGCTGGTGTCAGGTTCCTGACAATGTTACTGAGGCTAGCGATCTTCTCTTCTAGGAGGTAATTTTTCTTCTCTGCTGTTTTTTGTCGTTGTTCAGTCATTTCCAGAGCTTTCAACAACTGGGCATTTTCAACATACAAATCTTTCACCATTGCGTCTGCTTTAGTATTCTTGCAGAGCTAGAAACAACGAGAGACATCTTTGCTTCATTTCTGTAATTCATTCAAGATCTGACAGAAGGACAATTGTTTAATAAAGGCAATCCCTTGCTCCAATTATATGCTTTTACTTTACAATATAGTTTCAACATCAGACTTGACATCCAGAATACAAGCGGAGAAAAATTCTCCTTTTCTCAGTTGTTTCTCTGCATGTTTATAGAAATTAGTAATAAAAATATAGATGCAACTCCAAAATGAAAGTTTTTTTATCCACTTTAATAAGCTAGATGTTAGCAGTTTATTCATTCTCTAAGCATATCAAAGTGCTTTTATCACTTAAATTTCTGAGGTGCAAGGTGTAAACTGTGAATTCTACTCTTAACAGCAAATGCTTGAACTTTCCATTCACAACTTGCTGATTATTTTAAAATTTGACTCATATAACAGATAAAATTTGGGCACTTTTTCTGAAATCTTTCTTTTTTGCATGGGGCCTTATCTAAAAGGTATATTCTTATCTTTATGTTTAGAATATACAGTTGACCCTGGAATAGTATAAGGGTTCAGGACACTGATGCCTTGGTACAGTGGAAAATTTGTGTACAACTTTTTTTTTTTTTTTCCTAATTTGCCAGAGGTTGTGTGCACTTGCCAGAGAGAACAGAGAAAACTAGCGAGCGGTGGGAGAGGGAGAGAGCACCTCCCAAAGGGGCGTGGTTGCACTGCCATCCCTTCTCCGTCATTTCTACATCCCGTTGGGATTTTAGGCATGCATACACACATGCCTGGTGTGTTTTTCAAGCTAAGAGGTCGGGCATTTGGATCAGGCAGTTGTCCATGTGATAGCTGGTTCTTTTAACCTCTAGGCCACGGGGCCAGTCCTCTGTATAACTTTTGACTCCCTGGAAACTTAACTACTAACCGCAGACTGCTAACTGCAAGCTTTAGTGATAACATAACCAGTTGATTAAACACAAATTTTTTATACATACTGCATACTGTATTCTTACAATAAAGATAGGGAAAAGAAAATGTTACTAAGAAAATCATAAGAGGGCCAGTGAATAGCATAGTGGATAAAGCGTTGGACTCTCACCTGGCTGACCACCATTTGAATCCTAGACCCGGCAGCTTGAAACTCACCCTGGGCGAGTGTGTGCATGCCCCACATCCTGAGAGGAGAATGGAAGAGAAGGGGCTGCAGCATGGTCATCCCCCCTGGGGGGTGATTTCTCACTTTCTATCTTTGTCTCTCTGGCAAGCACATGTGCCCTATAGCAAAAATTTCTCTAAAAAAAAAATCATAAGGAAAATACATTTCCAGTACTATACTGTATTTTCTAATATAGTTAGTGGAAAGAAGTCCACATATAAGTGGACTCAAGCAGTTCAAACTCAAGCATGTTCAAGGATCAAGAGTACAGTGAAGGCTGGGCTGGGAGACCATGTTAGCAGCCTTGGGATACTTTTATTATAACTCCTGTTAATATCGTCCAATCCCCTTTCTCACGACCCCTTCAGCTTTTCATTTTACACCCAGTTTCACGCAGGACATCTAAATGTGTAAAAGGGTAAGGGAATCAAAGCAACTAAAACATGGCTAATTACTTAATTAGAAGGGCAATGATAAGGATTATAACACTAACGTCTAGAACGTAGATGACGGGCAGGTATAACATACTGTCATTTCAGAACCTCCACTCTGTGGAACTGCTCCACTGCAACTTTTCTTTCCTTCCTTTTTTCCCTCCCTTCTTTCCATGAAAAGAAACACTTCAGTGGTTCATCATCCACAGAAAAAGTTCAAACGCCTCGGCTCAGCAAGTTAGGCCCTTCAAGTCCCCTGTCCCCTATCCCTCTCCAGTCTCTCCTCTTCCATGATAGATGTCCGTATCCCTGGGTTGTCCTAACTGCGTGATGTTCACACACCCTAGAATGCCCATCTCACATTTACGGTTCAAATGTTACTAAGCCCTTAAGGCTTGATTTTAGAGGCCTTCGGGCAGCCTTCTTTAAATCCCAGAGTTGGATCAAGTATCTCTTCTGTTACTCTCTTTCCAAAATAAGATGAATAAAATAAATACATTGTATTTATTTCAAGTCTATCACCTGGTCAAATGCTTGGTGTCCTTAAATTTACAGGGAACTTGGGCAGGAATTTTGTTTTGTTCACTGCTGTCTCTCTAGTGTCTAAAACGTGGCCCAGCACACAGAAACTGTGCTGAATGAATACATACTTAAAGAACTGGATAGATAAATGCTTACTGAACAGGACTTCCTCCTTCTTCTCTGTGTATTAAGATATGGGACCAAGGAAAATTCCTGTCTACATCTGTGCTCTGAGTTTAGATCCTGTCTTGAGATTCTTCTTCTTAGGTTTTATGTTTCTAGAAAACCAGGTTGGACTGGGCCCTCCAGGCCCAGTTAGTGTGCCTCTAGAGAGGCTGTAACACTCTCCAACAAGGTGGTTCTCCTTCCACGTCTCTTCGGGGGACGCATAACTAATTTCTAAGCATTGAGGCTGTATGTCTCCACCAGCAGGCTGCTGAGGGATCCTGGAACGTGGAGTCCAGATGCTAACTCAAAGCACATTCTTCTGAGGTCTGCCTATAGTAATAAGGTTCTTTTTGAGGCTGTCTCATACTATGAGAATGGGAAAGCTGAAGTTCCACTTTTTATCTCCTATTTTTACACCATTTCATTTTCTTTTATTGAAATGGAAATATTGAGTCATCGGGAAGCAGAAAAATAAGTCATGACTTTGCCGACAACCTACTATTTCCCATCTTGAACAGATAAAAAAAAATCGATAAATATTCCATTTGCACTGCAGAACGTTATAAGACATGTTTTAGGTCCCTGTGAGTCACTTTTAGTAAATACTTATTTTTAAATAGTGGACATGCATATTCCTAAAAGAGCTTTGGAAAAAGCAGAATACAGAATTCATTTTCTAGGATGATGTAAGGGAGAGTGAACCCTAATTCTTCTAGACATTTATAGTAGAATTTAGAGTGTTTATTAGAGTGTCAACACTAGCTGACAAGCTAATGGCAATAAAGAGATGTAAAACTGGGCTTAAAACTGGAACGTGAGGGGCTGGCGGGTGGCACGATGGTTAAGAGCGCTGGACTCCTACATGGCCGACTGTGGACTCCTACATGGCTGACTGTGGTTTCAGTCTTGGACCTCGCAGCTTGCTTTCTCACTCTCTCTCTCTGTCCCTCTCTGGTCAAATTAAAATAAATAAAGTTAAATAAAAATAATTCTTAAAAAAAAGTGACTGTCTTATTAAAACAAAACAAAAACACTGGAATGTGGGGTGGGGGGACAGAAAGGATGAGAGAGGCTCACTTGTTCTCTGAGCTGATTCACTTTCTCTTGAAGAAGCCTTTTCACAAGTTTCAGTTTCTGTTCCACTTCTATCATTCGTTCTTCCATGAGAGATACCAGTTGTTCCTGGTTTTCCTGAAGGGAATGGGAAAAAAAAAGTGTATTATCATTTGAAAATCATGCCACACTGAAGATATTCGTGGCTTATTTTCCCCATAAGACGCCTAAAGAAAGGACAGCACGTGTTTTGCCTTTGTGTAAGGAAGGATGGATTTCTGATGGGATGGGAGTGCTGAGCAAGACATGGCTTGCACATGTTGAAAAGTAACCCTCTCAGAAAAAGAACCAGAGATGAAATAAAAAGGATCTTACCTGTGTAACCATCATCCCCTGAGACAAAGCAAAGTTCTTAACCAATATATTTTTCTTTCTTTACAGGGAAGTGAGATTTTAATGGTCTTGCAAGGTTGGGTGTCTGAAGGGCAGGCACGCCCAAATCAGTGACAACAAGCAATTTATTCTCTAGTGTGAGTCCCTTCCCCCGTTCCTGTGTTCGCTTCTGGTAAAAATGGCTATCCAAAGTAAGTTGAATGATGGTCATCCACCTTCCATCTGTGGGTAGGATCTTTGCAACACAGTGGGCTTCTCAACAACAAAAACAAACACTGAATTCACTCAGGGTTGTCTAATGTTTCCAATCAGCTTGCAACACCACGTGTTTTTCATAAGGCATGGCTATTACTGTGAGGGTGTTAGTGTTTTGTGCTTCATAACAATTAATCTCTTCCTGCCTGTCATGCTCGTCATCTGTCTCTATACTTCACTCTTCAGAGTGAAGCAAACACCTGGATGGGAGGATGGCTTTATCATCAGAGCAGAGTGAAAATTTAGAATGTTTCCAAATAGGGCAAGAAAAGAGCCCCAGCCTCTCCTCCCCTCTTACAACAGGGCTGGGTTAAGAAGTACAAGGGTTTTGGTGAGATCAGGATGTCTGCTCCCTTTACTGCTCACCAAGATGTCCACCCAAGGAATTTCTGATGTCAAGAAGATTTTTCAGATGTTTAAGGAAAGCTCAGGTGTTAATGCTAATAAGACCTGAAAATATTCTTAAAAGGCATCCTTTAGAAAACATGATAATGACCAAAGACAAGTCGAAAGCTAACGTTGGTTTCGCTATTAAACAATAACCCTTTATCATAAAAGAAACAGCTAAGCCATGTGACTAATTTGAAGACAAAAGTTGTGGTAGGCAAAAGTCTAATGCGGAAGTAAATTTCAAGAGATCAGGATTTGAGAACATCTAGCTTTTAAAAATGTCTATATTTGCTAAAAGATAAAATGCCTTTAAAAAACTCCAACATCAAAGGAAAATGCCTGATTTCCACTTGCTTAAAAAACAAGGCAAAACAACAACAAAAACCCATAAATAATTCAAAGAATATGGAATAGGGCAAAAGAGTGGGGAAAAAAAGGAAAAACAAAGGCAGTCATATTTAAAGTTATTTTATTGTTTCATCAAAAATTTCCTTTTTTCCTGTCAAAAGTACTATACATCTTATACAAAACAGTATAAATAAACCTGATTTTCTTCAAATTCCATATATAAAAGTAGTACCCTTTGTTAAAAATAGTTACAACATAGGGAATGAGAAAATATATAGAATGCATCCTTTCAAGAATCTTAAATCCACACTCTTCAAATGATATAAATAAAATGATTTGTAACAAGCTGAAGTTTGTGAATTTGATTCACAAACTCTGTCATTCCTATATAAATAAATAGACATAATACTGCAAAGGCTTAACATGAAAAATAATCAAATAATTTAAAAGAGCACTTGATTCCAACATTCCTCAGCTTATGTCTCTGTGGTGTGCGTGTACGTGTGTGGGGTATGCACTGAGGGCCTGCCATGGTAAGGACTGCCATCCATAGCAGCCCAGTGTTCACGGGTGCCCAATCCTTCTGCAGGAATCTGCATGCACTGCTCGCTGCTCCGGTAGCAAGGCCTAGAGAAAGAAGGCAAGTGGAATACTTCACCCTGATGTCATGGTGTTTTAGGGGGAGTCTAAATTCACACATGGATAATGCAAACGATTTTTAAAAGCACACACATTAACACGACATATGCAAGCAGAGCAACACAAAGGCAGAAGAAATCACATCACTTCACACACAGAGGACGTGCAGATTCTAATAATAATCTCTATTATTAAAATTGATGTCACTGGGGCCAGCAGGTAGTGTGGTGGTGAAGGTGCTGGACTCCCAAGGGGTTGATTACAGTTCAACTCCCGGACCCAGCGGCTTGAAAATTTTGTCAGGCACATGTGCATGCAAGCCCAAAATCCCAAGAGGAGAACAGAGAAGGGATTGCAGTATAGCCATCCACCCTGAGGGTGATTTCTCATTTTCCCTCTCTGCCTCTCTCCGAGAGCGCATGTGTCCTATGGCAAACAAGCAAGCAAGCCAACAAACAAAAGCCGAAGTGGGGGAGGGAATTAATGTCAGCTCAGTGACAGGAAGCAGGAGCCTGCAATGGTGTTCTAGTAAGTAAAAAGCAGACTACCCTGGCATCTGACTGGATGGATTTTTTTTTTTTTAAATACAAATCTTTACAGTTTTTGTCTAGCTAATAGTGAAACAATTGGAATAAAACGGTTTAAATTCCTTTTAAACATTCACAGGTGGGTGGGTTAAGAAAGACCATGTTCTGAAAACAGCATGTATGACACTTGGCCATGATTTGGGGCTGGCTTGAGATGGATTATGGTATTAGGACCTTGTTGGGATGTTGTCTCTCTCTCTCCAGCTCATGGAAGAATAAAAACTTTATTTGAGGAAAATAATGTATATGAAGAAGCAATGTGTAGAGTCTTACTTAGCCAAATAATTTTGTTTTGAAAGTCCATTAAAAATGAATATATTATGAATATATTGAGTCATTAGAAAAGTCATGATACATTTTTGCACAGTAAAACATGTCATGGGGACTAGCAGTTGGCGTAATGGCTATGTCGCTGGACTCCCACATAGTTGACCGTGGTTCAAGTTCAGGACCCGGTGGCTTAAACTCACGCTGGGTGCGTGTGCATGCATGCTCAAGATCCTGAGAGGTGAATGGAGAAGGAATTGTGGCATGGCCATCCCCCTGGAGGGTGATTTCTTGCTTTCTGTCTCTCTCTCTCTCTCTGTCTTTCTGGCGAGTGCATGTGCCCTATGGCAAAAACCACTCCAAAAAACCATGTAAGGACTTCTCTGATGACACAATAGTTCCACTTTATAACTACTGGGTCATCAGAGGAGTTGACATATTCCTCTACCTACCATCACGATTTTAATTCGACAACTTAGTTTTAATATTGAGAAGTTGAAGTAGCATGTAGAAAGCTCCTAAAAACATGGATTTTAAAGCACATAAGACAAAAATAACTTTCTAAAGTTTTGCTAGAAAGAATGGGTGACAGATGAGAGGAAAACCACAGTGCTACCATGACTATGCAAAGCCACTGTGAGGGACTTGAGAAAAAGAGTCAAGCAATTTCTTATCCAAAATTAACTGAGAAGCAAAGGATCTAAAAGCAGAAGCAACACATCCAAACCAGAAATAATTCATTTAGAACTTCACAAAGAGGTGCTTTTCATTTCTTTATTCATAATTCTGAGTTAAATGGGCAACACCAAAGAGTTAAAAATGATTATGAATGAAGCACTAAAGAAAAACAATTATTTGAAAACCCTGGAAACATAACATTGTATCTGATACTGAACTGGAATAATGCTAATTTAAAGGGAATGGGAAAATGTTCTTTGCTTTCTTTCTTTTTTAAAAAAAGAGTTTTGAAACTTTAACTTTTCTCCATTCATGACCCCTTTGCAATTGGGAAATATCTGTGAGCATTCTTATTTTGTGGCAGAATGGTTATTTGCATAAGCTCAATAATACAATGGTATCTGTTGCCTTGCATCAGAAATTAAATTCTTATGGGCCTTAGTGCAAATAACAGACCGATTGAGATTAATCTAGTTTTGTTATTTTTTTTTTTCAAATAAGTTAGTTCATACCTCTCTTTAGTAAAAGGGAGAATGGAGAGAGAAAAAAGTGAAAATTATAGTGCAGTTGTCACTGCTGCTAGCTTTGTCCATATTTTTAGTTTAAGATCTTTTATGAATCAATAAAATGTGAAAAATAAAGTTTAGTATGGAAGGGAGGGAGGGGAAAGCGGAAGGATAATACAAGTAAAAGTAGTTTAATTGACCAAAAATGAGAAGCTATTTGCTGATGATAATGTCTATAGTAATATCTTTGTTTCTTTGTCTTGACTGACATGCACGGTATTTGTGCTGGAAAAAGAAATGTACACTGTAAAGACATGTGATTAGATGTGAATTAAAAAAAAAAGGTTTTTTGCCTTAGGGCATGTGCACTCACCAGAGAGACACAGAGACAGTGAGAAGGAAAGTGAGAAATCACCCTCCAGGGGCGATGGCCATGCCACAATCTTCTCCCTTCTCCTCTCAGTATTTTGGGCACATACGCACATGAGCCCGGTATATTTCAAGCCACCAGGTCTGAGATTTGAACCGTGGTCAGCCATGTGAGAGCCCAGTAATATAACTGCTATGCCATTTCCTGGCCCCACTCTTTTTTTTTCTTAAAAATAATTTTTCAAACTAGATCACTTTGAAAATTGAGTTAAATGATCTAAATAATAATAATTAAAAAAAAAACATAAAAAACCCCACTGACTACACATTCTATTGGGCTGTGGGGAAAGTCATGACTCATTTTAGCATAGAAAAACAGAAAAATACATCACGACTTCCCCAACAACCGAATACTTTATTAGTTGTGCAAAGTCCCCACTTGTGAGTTGCATGGAACTCCACAGACCGTGGTCTTCTGGTACAAAAGAATTCCGTACGCTTTGCTAGTAGTGGACATCCCAGAGTTACCACTGAATTCTGTAATACTTTTGGCACTGGATGAGAACATTAGGCCAACTGTGCACATGGCTCAAGTGATCCCAGAACTTCGTCATCTATTGACAAATGCTCAAAGGAAACCCAGAACATTTAATTGCCCAGCTTAGAAGTTGAGAGCTTAAAAGGAGCATGGCAATAAACAAAACCAAACGGCACTGAGGTTCTGTGGATACAGTTAGGGTGTGACTCTCTGATAGAAGATACAGATTTTTATTCCCACCTCTGAACTGGTGTAACTTTCAATAACCAGGTAAAGTTAGTTAGGCGATCTGAGTTTATTACTAGAGACAAGAAGAGCTTCGTACCTGTGGCATGTTGGTATCGGAGGTCCTGTTTTCAAGTTCCTCCTGCAGGTGCTGGTTGGTCCTTTCTGCCTGCAGCAGCTGGTGTTGAAGCTGCAGAAACTGCTCCCTCGGCACCATCGGACAGGCTTGCTGCTGGAGCAGCTGCAGATCCCAAGCATGAGGGGATGGGCTAAGCATCACAGTGGACCTCAGGTGCTGCATCTGGAGGACAAGGGCAAAGCCCAAGTCAGTGGCAGTGAACTCAATCACAAAGCTGCCCTTGAAGGAGTCAGGCAGAGCACAAAGAATTCATGAATGGTCTCATACTCACTAATAATTTGGAAAGAGACAGCATGTAAGCCTGAGAAAGATGCAACTTGCAAGAGCCATTTTGCTTAGGAGGTAATATAATTAATACATAAGCAGGCTTTCTTAAATGTTTTAGACTTAAGATTAGACCTTCCTCACTACTGAGTGACTGCAAGAGCATGAGGTATACACTTCACTTGATGGACATAATCTGAATGCTATCTTATTGCTTCTTACACTAGAACACTTAATTACCCACACCCCCTTTTTAAAACTGAGGTAGGTGTAGGGAAGTAGGGAAATCAGAGGAGAAAGTGGTTATGCTCTAGAGTTTTGCTACTTACCATTCATAGATTCTCAAAGGCTAGAGTTTAATGACTACGTATTTTCCAGCCCCAAGTGAGCAATTTTTGAAAAGAATTTTGTCTCACATCTAGAATTAAGCTAGCTTAAATAGCATTAAAACAGGTAATTCTGGAGCATAAGTTGATATTGTAGAATAATTTGGGAACTGGAGTACACAGAAGAGAAGTATTTGTTCAAGACAACAAGGAAATGGGATGTGTGTGAACATGCCATCAGAGCTAGGGAGAGAAAAAGGAGAAGAATGTACTGCATTTTGGCGGGTGAAGCATGCCACCTCACATCTGTCGACACGTCTGTCAGATGCACGGCTTCGATGGAAAGCATGCAACACACATGACCAACTACCAACTCACGAACCACCTCCAGGCTGGTGAGAGGGGAAAAAGGACCTCTAAGACTCAAATGGAATTAAATATTATCATGAAACCTCAGAGCCATTATCCATTTACTTCATATTCATTTTTGGAGGTGGGCTGTTACCCATTTTGAAATACTTTTACTTGTAGATTCATTAAACCCACCACTTTATTGTCATGCGTAAAAGATATGGAGAATTATGATCTCATGATTTTAAATCAGCGATATGATTTTTTTACGCAATCCTTTAAATACTTAGGCAAATCCTGAGGTAAATGTAAACAGAGATATATTCCACAGTTAAAGCCAAATGAAAATGAATACTGGCTCTTAGCTTAAGTACTTATTAACTGTTATCGTCAACAGAAGGGATTACATGAACAAGGAATGTAATGAGATGTCTCCATGCGATGAAAGTTCATTGAAAGAGAATGTTCTACCTTCACACACTATCTCAGGCAGAGAACTGCACCCTTCTCTGCTACTTCCAACCACTGAGTTCTAGGTACAGGTTAGCCACAGACAAAACAAAAACAAACAGAAGAAAATTACAAGAGTTATAAAGAGAGGCAGAAAAGCATGAGTTATAAAAAGAGAAAGAACAGTACACATTGGGTATATTATATACATAAGAAAGAGCATATGTAGGATCAACATTTACATTTTTCAGCATATAAATTGTACCGACATTAACATGTCTTATAGATGGAATTCTCCAACTGCAACCTCAGCTGCTGTAATTGGGTTGGTTTGGGAGCTTACCACCTTTGCCTGTACTCTACTCAATATAATTTAGACTCTGCCAGGTCCAGTAGAGAATGGAGCTGATGGCAAATCCCTCTGTCACTTAAGGATGCCAAAAATAAGACATTATTTTGTTTAAGTGTCTGAACTGTTGGTTATTATAGAGATACAGCCGACTTGAGAACTGTTGATATTGTCAGAAACTCTTTAAGGGTTCAAAATAAATTATTTATTAAAAATTGCCTCATATAGTTGACAAAGCCCTCCCTCCCAAGTGGGAGTTAAATTCTGGACCTAAGTCTCCAGTTCCTAGTCATAGTGATTTGTGATCTTTAATTAAATTGGGGTAAGGTAGGTGCTGAATTGGACTCAGTGACTTTTTTTTTTCTTTTTTTAGAGAGAGATTTTTGCTATAGGCATGTGCGCTTGCTTGAGAGAGACAGAGAGACAGAAAGCAAGAAATCACCCCCTCAAGAGGGGATGGCCATGCTGCAATCCCTTCTCCAACTTGCCTCGGGATTTGGGGCATGCACACACATGCTCCTGGCATGAGTTTAAGTCGTCGGGTTCAGGACTCAAACTGCGGTTGACTACATGGGAGTCCAGTGATATAACCATTACGGCATCTGCTGGACCCTAGATTCAGTGCCTTTTAAAGTAGTATATAGGGTTAGGAGACTTGCTTCTCCCAAAGGAGTTTATGTTGGGTTGTTGGATAAGTCGTGCTGCATTTTGCATAGAAAAATACTTCATGACTTTCCTGACAACCTAATCCATCAGTTTAGAATCACCCACAAAACATTTCTCAGGATGAATCCCACAGATTCTGATGTGGGAATGCCCCTGCCTACCCACTGCTCCACACACCAACCAGGTGAGAATCTCTGCCAGAGTGAGAGGAATGTACCTATTCTTCAGGTGAGCTGGGGCACAAAAGATGGCTGAAAACCTCTGTACAGTCCCTAAATTGGCCTAATCTATACATATCATAAATAAAAATCCAATTCACAGAGCTGTGGAGGCCTGGGGGTGGGGTGGGGTGGGAGAGGGTTAATGGTTGTAGGGTTTCTGTACAGAGTTTTGAATGGAGCTGATTTTTGAAAGTAATAATGATTGTACAACCTTGTAAATGCTATTAGTGCCCCTGAATTGTACACTTAAGAACAATTAAAATGGCATTTTTTATGTGATGCGTAATGTATATCTACCACAATTTTAAAACTGATAATATACCCCCCCAAAATCACTGAATTATATATTTTAAATGGGTGAACTGTATAGTAAGTGAATTATTTCTCAATAAAGCTGTTTAAATATACAATCTGTACAAATCCATAGAGTTTAGGGGTCAGCAGGTGGCATGGTGGTTCAAGGAGCTGGATTTCCACACGGCCGACCACGGTTTGCATCCTGGACTTTGTGGCTTGCTCTCTCACTTTCCCTTTCTCTCTCTCTCTCTGTCTGGTCAAATTAAAATAATAAAAAATGATAACAACAAATAGAATTAAATAAATAATTCTTTAAAATAAACCCCAAATCTCTAGAGTTAATAAATCAGTCTTATTTCCTTTTGAAAGTTCCATTTGAATAGATAGTGTATCAGATGTTCTGTTCAGCGCTCAAGTTGAAAATTTATGACTCTTCCTTAGTTATTCAGCTCTAGTGCCAAGAATATGCATGTTCCTGAATACATTAGCAAATATTTACTACTATCCCAGGGAGAAAAGAGGAAGAGAAATTGCTCATAGTGTCTAATAATATAAAGTGGGGCTGGGAGACCAGGAGGGAAAAAAAGGGTCTGTTGGCACCGCACTGGGGGCGGGTCTAACAGTGATTAAATATACCCTGTTGCTTTTTAGTTTGGTACTAGACACTTTGAGCTTAGCTTCAGATATCTTATTCATTAGAATATATAATTATTTCATCAGGAAAGCATGTCTACATCTAAGCACAGCCCACAGCTCAAGGTTTTGAACACACTTATTACATGCTGTCAGAAGAAAATGGTTTTGATTCCACTATTTATAGTTTTGTTAATCTCCCCATTAGTGGATAATCAGAGAACATAAAATTGACAGAAACCTCATGGTCGTTTAACTGTCAATTCAGTATGTTTGCCCATATTTCATATTTAAAATCCAAACATTAATTTTTAAAGTTATCTCTGCGTGTGTACGGCTTCATAAAATAAAATGTTTAAATATCTCCCTCCCTTTCTAGAATTCTGACTTAAAAGTATATCTTTTATGCATGCTTCTCTACCTCACATGAATTTTACAGTTCACTAAATGTTGGATTGACTGATTAATATTCTCACCTACCCAAAGCAAAGTATCTCAATGAAAATTTTACTTGAAGGAGGAGGAGAGCTAGCTACAACTGTACTTAAATTGTTATAATTTGGTATTCAGAAAGCAATCTAACAGACTGGAACCCAATGTTCAAGCTGACAAGTTATATAAATCTATTTTATATTGATCGGATACACTTCTCACAGACAAGACTGACTTATAAATATGGTAATGAACAAGGGGAACACTTGAAAACAAAACTTCTAAATGCTAAATCTCTCAAATTCCTCATATGGATTTCCTAACAGAAGAGATTGTTGGAGAACAACTGTATCCATAAAACAGTGTCATACAGGAGGTCTCAGGAAACTAATAAACACAGGCGTGGGGGAAAGCCCCGGGCCTCTCAGCGAGTATCAGGCATAGTCCCTCCCACCCGAACTTGTTGAGGTAAAGCTCTTTGCATTTTAGATCAACATTATCCCTTCCTCGGCAAAACAGCATTCAAGCAAATATGTCTATTAAACTTGGTAAAACAGACCAAAGAACTTGGCTTGGCAGTGCCTTTAGAATTTCACAGCAGGAAGTCAATGCCATGTCTAGATTCTCCCAACAAATGGCTCATTCATAGATTAAAATATTTTTCATAGCTAAAGCCATTTGCTCAAAAACTTACCTCCATTAGTTGCTCATCCAGTTTTACTTGTTTCTTTTTCAGGCCTTCATTTTCCAAATGAATTGTTTCTAATTCTCGTTCCAGAGAATTCACCTGACTGATCTATTAAAAAACAAACAAACAGAAATTTTTCCTTAAAAAAGTAAAACACTTGAGTTGCTATTTTTTCTTTTAAGAGTGAGATTTTTGCTACAGGGCATGTGTGCTTGCCAGAGAGACAAAGAGACAGAAAGCTAGAAATCACCCCCCAGAGGTGATGGCCATGACACAATCCCTTCTCCTCTGTTCTCCTCTTGGGATTCTGGATGTACGCATGCGCGTGTGTGCGCGCGCACACATACACACACACAAATCTGGTGTGAGTTTTAAGCCACAAGGTCTAGGATTTGAACTATGGTCAACAATGTGAGAGCCCAGCGACATGGCCATTACGCCACCTGCTGGTCCCGAGTTGCTTTACTTTTGACAAATTATGCTAGTCAGAAATCTCAACTCCTAGAAGCAAGTTGAGTCGATTTTGCAATAAAAACAACAAACACTGCAATTCCATGCATTGCTCACAGTTAGGAGGTCTAGTATTAATTACTACTCCTCACACAGAACAGATTCCTTAAGACAGCTGGCTTTTAAACTTCCATGCCACCCACATTCTATTTCGCAATGCAGTACACACACCCACATGAACACAGAGAGGCACAGTCAGTAAAGCACATATTAGGGAAA